AATTATATGAAATATAATTGAAATTTGGAGAAAACATAATAAGCGAGGAGAATAGTTCCAGGAAGATAGTGGACGAAAATAGATGTTCGGGTTCCGGACACAGAAAAACAAGTATTGGACACAATTGCAGAAGAGCCTTTCAGGGGCACTCAGAATATTGCACAACAACTGACACTTCCCTAGGCACCAAATAAATACCGGCTACATTCCTATCACGTATGTAAGATACACATTAGACCAATGGATTACTGAACACCGGTATAAATTGAGCAGGAGTTAATTAATCGAATACGAGAAGCTGCTCGAGAAGAGTGCATAATAAGGTGCCACAGGAACTTGTTCGGAATTCCAGACTCAAATGTATGAATTTGTAATTTGTAAACAAATTAATAATTCGAGGATATGAGTTTCGAAATAGGTAATGTAGAATTTTTGTTTCTGGAATTGCTGGAGAAACATGTTGTCTATGATTCCTAAGTCAACCACAGATTTAAAGGCTCATAGTTGTCAGTTTTCGTTTGCTTTAGGAGCTGTTGTGGTGTTGGTATGGTGTATATTAAACGATGATAGTTGTTGTTTAATCAACATCTGAAGTATTGGAGATATTTTGCATCCCCATTTAATTTTAATTTTCTTACATCATATGGCCAGTTGAATCCTAAATGTTGTGACTGCGGATTGTATTTGAAATGTGTGTCTGCACAAAGGTTGTTTTTGATTCGCATGAAGGTTTCAGCCCTGTTTGGTGCTGATTTTCCTGTGTGGTATTGACTGTAAGGAGGAGTCGTATCGGTTTTCTACCTCTTTTCCTCGACATGGGTTTCAGAAAGAACCTTCCTTCCTGGGAGGCTTGGGCCGATTCGAACCCCTGCGAGCTTTCATCCAGCGTTACCTCCTACCTCTCTCTTTAGTCGTTGTACGATTTTAGACGACGTGACTCATTCATGGAGATTGCATAGTGCCGCTTCCCCATATTTATCTGTCTTCTACAGTACGCATCACTTGAGGGGCCGACAGTTGTGTGAGATCTTTTATTTGGTCTATACATATTTCTCACTGCACGCCTCCTCTTAATCTTGTGCCAATAACCTGCCCTGTATCATCAGTTCATACTGTTCTTACGTTTTACACGGCCGACAAATTTAAGCATACGTCGTTGGATTGATGGTAGGAACATATTATTTTCGCATATTTTTATTTTTCTTAGAATGGATGCGTTAGTGCAGCCTTTTTCTGTAGCATCTAATTTCAAACGCCTTAACTGTTCTTCGACATGCGAAGGAGTGTGATCGTGGTAGGGACTTGCAGTGCGTAAGCTGCAAGAAGGCAGGGCTCACACGAAGGAGGCACAGCGCCAGGGACGACAGGCGCCAGGGACGACAGGCCCGGTGGGTCTTCGTAAGAGGGAACAGCAGAAGGCGGCTACAAGGTATGCATAAGCAAGAGTGTGAATTTTCCCCAGTGGAATGCGGGGAGAGGAAGGGAAGCGTGCAAGTTGTGTCAGAGGTATGCCGTGGAGCAGGGAATGGATGTCGTGGTGGCTACTGAGCCATATTTTTGGAGGCGTAAGGCTAGGGTTCCGGAAGAACATCTCGGTCAGCTTGATTCCTAAGGTGCCTGGCGACAATAATGTCGGGGTTGTCGTCGAGACGAAAGTAAGCCAGAGTAGGATGAGTGTGGTCGGGGTGTATGACGAACCTGGTGGCAGCAGGACCGTCAGACTGGATGAAGTGAGGGATAGGCTGACGA